ATTTATATTTATAAATCTACCATTGAACTGTGCATTGAATATTGATGCCATATCTGGTCTGGTGCTCAGGCTATATATCTTGAGATTCTCAACAAAATCCAAAGAAGTGTTTACAGTGTTATTTATCCTGACTTAGCATCTCAACTTCAGTCATTTTTCCACCACTGTGATGTGGCTTGCCTCTGTCTTTTGTATAAATATTTTCATGGCAATTGTTCTGATATGCTTTCTTCCTTGACATCTCAACTGAATGAATTTAAGTCTACTACTAGATTGGCAACTAGGTCTCACCATTCTAATGTTGAACTAGCTAGACGCAACCATATATTCTAGACTTTTCTCTCACTTCTTACCTCTGTAACTCTTTTCCAGCTTCTTGCTTCCTTGCCACATACAGCCTTCAAAAATTTAAATACAATGCCAATTGGAATAATCTATCTTCCCCAAATCTGGTCTTTCTCCTAAAGCCTTCTCATTCTCTTCCACTCTCCTAAAGCTTTCTCATTCTCTTTCACTCCCCCCTTGCATCTTAGTGACATTATTACCTTCTTTGGGAGAGGAAAGATGAAAAATAAAAATTTTCCTACAGATGTACATTCTGAATAGAAAATGAACTGTCTGTCTTCAGATATATATATACAAACTCTTTAATGATGATGATATTACCAAAATCTTTACTAATGTATTGAGCTTTTCCTTTATATATATATATATATATATATATATATATATGTACTAGTAATAATCCTATAAGTATAAAAACCTTTGGTGTCTTGATTTGCAAATAATCAAATCAATACCAAAAGGAAAAAAAAGGTATAAAAAAAAAAAGAAGAAAGAACATGTATGTCAGCCGAAAATAATTGTCTAGCATCCAAGTCGAAAGTCCAAAGAAAAAAAACCCGATACGAGTAAGCAAAATAACTTAATAAAGTGCTCAATATGTTAAGTAGAGCAGATCTAATTAAACCTAGAGAGCCAGACAAACCTACCAAGGTTTCACCTAAGCAGATTGTCAGAGAAAGCTGGCTTTCCCTGATGATCCACTTAGATGAAACCTTAGTAGGTTTGTCTGGCTCTTTAGGTTTAACTATATATATATATATATATATATATATATATATATATATATATATATATATATATTTTTATATATATATATTTCCAAACAAAAATACATAAGAATGCTGGAAAAACTAAATAAAAAAATTAAAAATATAAAGATCTATGTATTTAGTTAAAATTTAGTTTTACACACATTATGTTCAGAAAAGAAAAAACTTTTATGAATATCAAAAAAATTATATATATATATATATGTATATATATTATCTTTCTTTCTTTCTTTACTTATTTCTTGTATTTTCTCATTGAAACAAAGTAGCATCTTGTATATGTCTTTTCTGTCTTTCCATATGATCTAAATGAAACAGCACATTATTTAAAAGGTATTGGCAAAGGCATAATGTATGAATGGATGAATTAAGGAAATAATGGAGGAATAATCAGTATTATAATAAGATAATAATAAAGTCGAAACTGCTTGGATATATAAAACATTTGGACAGTTTTTACACAAATTATCTCCAGAAAAGGAAACACTTATACAAACACAAGAAAAATTAAATAAAAACTTAATTGAAGTGTGTTTGTCAGTCCTCTTAAATGAAACTTGTATAAAAAAGGTATTGCTGCTCAAATACACAATTATATATATATATATATATATATATAAAAAAATTTCAGATGGAGTATATCTGTAAAAGGACAATATAAACAAAGACAAAAGGAAAACTTATGTTAGGCAACACATTTTATCCTCAAGGTAAATAATTGTCCTTCTGAGGATGAAACAGGTCAGCTAAGATAAGTTTTCCTTTTGTCTTTATTCATATATATATATATATATATATATATATATATATATATGTGTGTGTGTGTGTGTGTGTGCATGTGTGTGTGTTTGTCTGTGTGCAAAGTAGAAAATATCATTTTATAGAAAAATAATGCCAGTAAAATACTAATCTGTCCAAACCAATCACAAATAATTATTTAACACAAGTTATTCTATATTTTGTAAGGCATTATATATACGATCTTGTGTTATTTTAGTTGAGAATTTGTTTTTGGCATGGTCTGGGTACCACCTATTTGTATCTGATTGATACAATCACAATATCTTCTAGTTACCTGAAGTGACCTTTGCTAATTACTTCCAGCTGTGTCACTCAAAAGAACTTTGGCTTGTCTCTTCAAATTAAGTAAACACAGGATCATTCAACTGTTCGATGGGATTCATGCCAGCAAATATGAGAAGTTTAAAACAAATTTAATGCCAACTAGGAGCCTTAGTTCTCAGAGGAGTTGAACTGTGGTGACCCCCATATGTACTAAAAGATACTTAAGTAGTCTTTGCACTCAATGCCACACCTTCTATGTGCCATGCCACTTCAGGATGTTCGCAATCATGGCTCTCCACAATTCCTGTCCTTTGTAGCTTTCTAGGGTACATAATGTGGAAATACGGCTTGGAAAATTTGATACTCACAGGAAAGAGTAAATACAAGAGGAACAGAGGAAAACAACATGTATATTATCCAATGAGCTTGAGTAGATGGATGGAAGAACAAGGCTTAAAGGAGATAATAAAAAGATAAAATTTATTATAAAAATCATGAAATTGTAGAGAGCCATAATCACCAACGTACACAGCACATAGAAGAAGAAGATAGGCAGAGAACACATACTTAAGTAGTTTTTGCACTCAATGTCACACCTTCTATGAGCCATGCCTCTTCATAATTATTTACATTATTCTAACTGTTCTCATCTTTATTGCCATATTCATGATGTTTCAGTCATTGTACACTCCACCCTTCTCAAGCTGATTGGAATTTTGAACTGAACCCTTTATTTCATCCACCAGGGTAGATTGTTCCTGTTCAACGTGCCATGCCTCTTTTGGATGTCTCAGTTATTTCCCTTTAACTCAACTCATCAAGTTTTTATTCACCACTGCTATAGTCAGGTATTGAACTCACAACTCTTTGCATCGTCACTTGATCCAACCTACACTTTTATCCATTGAGCCATGTGTTCAATCTCCTGAAGAAGGCCGGAGTGTACAATGGCTGAAATGTTGTGTATATGGCAATAAACATGAAGACAACAGGTCAAACAATGTAAATAATAAAATAATTACAATACCCCCTGCATGATGTTGTTGATCTTTGATTTCCACAATTTCCTGTCCTTTTCAGCACTTAGTAAATTTTGTCTTTTCAATCACTCCTACAGCCTGTACTTCCATTCATTTACATAAGCTTTTTAGGTAGGTTATCCACTCTTTTCTCCTTTCCCTTTTACATTCAATGTCTATCTAAACCCTCTTTCCTCATTATGTCTCCTAGAAATTTCAACAGCCTCTTTCTGATGTTAAGTATAAATGTCTTTTTTGTTTCCATTTTTTCTAAAACATTTTAACATGTTAACATTTTTCACATGTTCACTCCATGGTATTCTCAGCATTCTTCTGTAGAACCACATTTCTGTTGCTTCAAGTCTCTTCTTCATCTATGTGGAGTTTTTCCAGCATTCACTACCATATAGGAGGACTGATATTACATAACAGTTCAGTAATCTTTTCTTTGTTTCTATTGATTGAAGTCTCTTCATCTGTGTGGAGTTTTTCCAGCATTCACTACCATATAGGAGGACTGATATTACATAACAGTTCAGTAATCTTTTCTTTTTGTTTCTATTGATTGAAGTCTCTTCATCTGTGTGGAGTTTTTCCAGCATTCACTACCATATAGGAGGACTGATATTACATAACAGTTCAGTAATCTTTTCTTTGTTTCTATTGATTGAAGTCTCTTCATCTGTGTGGAGTTTTTCCAGCATTCACTACCATATAGGAGGACTGATATTACATAACAGTTCAGTAATCTTTTCTTTGTTTCTATTGATTGAAGTCTCTTCATCTGTGTGGGGATTTTCCAGCATTCACTGTCATATAGAAGGACTGATATTGCATGACAGTTCAGTAATCTTTTCTTTGTTTCTAATGAATTTTCCCTATTGCTTAATATGTTGCTTACCTTTTGGAAGACATCTTTCACTGTCCAGCGGCACCTTCAAATTTTGCTGTTGCACTTTCTGTTTTCTCTTAAAACCTTCCCAGATATTTAAATTGGTTGTACTTGCCTGATTTTTGTGTTTCCAATTAGTAATTTACATGTTGGGCTGTTCCAAATGCTAACAAAATGTCGCACCAGAGTATCAAATGAGCCAGGTATATCAAAACATTGACCCAGAAGACAACCTTATAGCCACCAGATACATTATCAAGCCTCAAAGATGCCAGTCTGTGCTCACGTGTAAACAGAAGATCAACTCAGCTGAGCTTAGGATATGCACACATGGGACATGATGATGACAGGGACTTATATAAGTGCTCCACCCATGAGAGAAAAGCCAGGATCTCTCATGTTCTTGTGAGAAGATGATCATGGTTCAACGAAAGTTCCCAAACCACACACTCAGGTGTTAACTGATAAAATTTCAGAAATGAATTAATAATACTTTCATATATGGAATATTTAATCTTGTATTTTTATTAGATATTACTAAGGTAACATTACATAAGTACCTGTCTTGAAAATTAGCATTCTAAATCTCTACTCTGTCCATTTTGCCTCACATACATAATGCAAGGTAATCTGTAATTCATTTCCATTCTTACTAGTACTGCTTTTTCCTGTACATAGACAGAGACACAACTGAGGCATAAAATGTAGTTTATCCGCCCTAGGGCAGGTACTACACTTTGATCCCAACCCAATGGCTAAACAGTAAAGAAAAGCATAATTTGATTATTACCTGTAACTCCATTAATGAATGCCAAATCTTTGCTTAGAAGCAACTGGCTATTATTACTATCACCATTTCTACTATGCTTAATATAGAAGAAAATATTTCCTCTCAATTTAAAAACTTACAGCGATTGTGGCCAAAAAAATCCTGCCGCCAAAAGTTAGCAGGTCCGACAGAATCTTAATGTAGTGCAGTCTTGCTTGGATTGTGGGGAGGTGCTTTTGACCAGGGAGTGTTAGATTTTGGTTCTGTCGCAAGTAATGTGTCAGAGTTCGACGGACATCTTTCATTTTCATATTTTCCAGAATAGTTCGAGGTACAAATCTATTCAGGCCAAACTCTTTTCTGAAAAAAGAAAAAGAAAAATAAGAAATTTGAGAAGAGCATCAGGAAGAGACTAAATTTCTAGAGCATATACTTCGGAAAGAGGGTTTGGAAAATTTGACACTCATAGGATATATTGAAAGCAAGAGAGACAAAAGAAATCAGCACATAACCTACAACAGAAAACTTCCTAACAAGCTTGTGTAAAATGTAAATTGTTAGCAGAACAAGGATTAGAAGATACAGCAAAAAATACTAACTTTACTAAGGGCTACAAATGATAAGAAATTGTAGAGAGTTATGATCAGGAAGAGTCTAAATTTCTAGGACACATAATGAGGAAAGAGTGCTTGGAAAACCTGACACTCTCAGGATATATTGAAGCCAAAAGGAACAAAAGAAACCTTCCTAACAATCTTGTGTAAATGGTTGGCAGGACATATATATATATATATAGATATAGCAAAAATACAAGCTTTACTAAGGGCTACAAATGACAAAGTTTTAGAGAACTATGATTGTCCATGTCCTGAAGGGACACATCATATAGAAGGAGAAAAAAAGACTTCAGAACGATGTATGTTTGAAAGATATTTTAATTTAAGCAACAGAGATGTAGTTCTATAGAAGGAGGGTGATAACAAATGAGTAACAAAGATGCCTTAAGGAATATGTAATGAATCACAAAGTTGAAGTTGAAATTTCTGAGATAAATAATGAGGAAAAAGGTCTTTGAGAATTTGACACTAAGAGGACATAAAAGAAAGCAGTAATTAACTTATCTAATGAGCTTTTGCAAATGGATGACAGAAAAGGGACCAAGAGGGATAGTAATGGGACAAGCATTGCTTAAAACTACAAAGAAAAGGAAGTTGTGGAGAGCCATGACTGGTCCATGCTCTGAAGGCACACAGCCTATAAAAGAAGGTTATTCCCAAAAAGATGATGTTAGATTAAGGAAAATAAAAATGTTATATTGACTGTGATTACAATTATTCACAGCCATTTTATGGTTAAGAAGCCAGGAAATTTTATGTTCATATAATGGCAGATGAGAGATGAGAAATTTTGTCATTCTTGGAGCAACTGAAAAAATCTCTAGTTAGAAATTTCTTTGTTATACTGTAGTTAATGTGATGTCTCACAAGAAACTATTTTTTTAATTCTGGGTCTTCTGACATTGGCAGTAAATTATAGTTATTCAACACATCAGTATACAAACATTTTCTCAGATCAATTGTTAAAAATGGTTTCAAATGAATTAATCTGATAAATCTTAAAGAAGATGAACCTTCTGAGGAGTGAGTAACTATGGTTAAGTGCAAAATAAGTAACAGAACTGCTGCAACAAACAAAATCAACAAAATTTGCAATAAGCAAAAACAAGAAAAAGGGCAAAAAATAATATAAAACAAGCAAACAACATATACAAGGCAAATTAATAGAAATAAGGCCAAACAACAGTAATATGGCAAAAAGTTCACAAACTAAGAATTGGGTTTGACATGCAAAAACATGTTCAGACAAGCGAACATAGCATTCTGACTTGAGGACAAGACAGCCAATGACTGAGTCAGATTACACTGAGAACTGGCCTAATTTATTGGTTAAGAAAAAATCCCAGCACACATTTGTGTACTTCTGCTTATAAATCAGGGAGGAGCAAATGTTTGTTTTTGTCCATTTTTTTTTTCATCTCGACTGGCTCAGTTTTTGATTTTCCTTCTCCACCATTTATTTTTATCCTTCCTTCTCCATTAGTGAGCAAGCTTCTTGATTCTGCCTCTGGGTAGAACACAACAGCCTCTCTTAATTTTTGTGGGGTTGCTGGGTCCTACTAACATATATCATTTTTAGTTTTAATGTTTTGTTATATTTTAATTTCATTTTTTGGTTCATCACCTCCACCCACATTTCACATCATTACATTTTTATATATTTTTTTAAAAAATGATACCCCCCTCCACCTGCAAAAAAAAGGACATTTGTACATTAAGAAATTTTTATGTCATAAGTGTTTTTGAAGGTCCCCTATGAATATGTGGTATTGTAGTATATATTAGGCTGAATGACGATGGATGAGTTCTTGTGGTGAATGAGTAAATTGTAACAAATGAATAGGTCATGAATCTGATTTGCTAGATCTGGAATAGTTAATGTTGATCTGGAATCATACTTATTATAAAACCCAAGTTGTGTGTGTGTGTGTGTGTGTGTGTGTGTGTGTGTGTGTGTGTGTGTGTGTGTGTGTGTGTGTGTGTGTGTGTGTGTGTACGTTTATATATTGAATCTGATTTCCTACATTTTTCAACCAATTTCAACAAAACTTCACAGGACTATGTAAAATTACCTTGCAGTGGTTCTGACAGCACCAAAAATTGGAAAAACACAATTGTTTTTGCACAAAATCAATTTGAAAGCACGTTTAAGAGGCATCGCGAGAATGAAGGGTGGACAACTCATATTGAGTTACACTTAATCATAAAACCCAGGTTGTTTGTGTGTGTGTGCATTCGTTTATATATGGGATTGGATTTCCTACATTTTTCAACCGATTTCAACAAAACTTCACTTTCTTTTTTGGCAGTTAGTGTTTCTTATTGTCTTGCACACTTTTTTCTTTATTTTTACATTCAGAATGCTTTAAAAATACCATTTACAAGACAATTGTTTATAATAAAATTCTATTCAATCGGTAGACTCATAACAATTGAAAACAATGTTTTTGTTTGAGTTTGGGTTTGACCAATTCGTAAAAAAAAAAAAAAAAAATACTAATTAAGACATGCGTGTCCGTCAACCTTAAACAATAATCTTTGTCAATTTTATTTTTCAGTCTTTATGATGGTCGATACTTGATCTATCTCTTACTGTTACATCCCTGGGCAACGCCGGCCTCTACTGCTAGTAGTTAATATTGACCAGCCTCTCACCACTTCCCCTATTTATGTTTCTTCAGTTAAAATTAAAATCTGTTAATTTTTGTAGCTTCAAAAGAACATGCCATCTCTCCTTGAGTTCAGAACATCATCATCATAGTTAATGATAAATACAACAAAAGTCCTGGAGTAGTTGATGAATATATATTAATAGCAATTTCTTTGTTATGGTTTGGCTGACAAATTATCGAATAAGAAATTCCTTTGTTTCCTGGAGTGATGTTATTCTATGACTTTGTTCAATAACAGTGAATTGGATGATTCAAAACAATTCATAAATAGTGATGAAGGCAGTGAAATAATTGATTTTCCTGGAGCTGTTGACAAAGTATTTACCAATATCATCACTTGACTTGACAAGCAAAGATTTAGGTGGATTTTATGCACTTGTTATAAACCCTACCACATCTGCTGGAGGCAAGCGAATTAGCCGTCAACATTTGTGCTATCGACATTTTAAGGTGGAGAGCAGTAGTCACATTACTGACCCCACATTTTAAATGAGTGTTATGTGCCATTGTTCAGTTAGATAGGATGTTAATTGTTACTAGCTTAAAAGCCGCACTCCATTTACAAAGTTTTTGAGATAATTTAAACTGAGTTTAAAACAAAAAATTTTATTTGAATTTTTAACTCTTCGCTCATCACTAGACACAAATCCCAATGCTGGATGTTCAAGCACCAGATCAAGGGCAGATTTTCAATCCTGGGATCATCCTGATTCCAAAAAGGTATAATATGTGTATATGTATAGGATATAAAAAGATTTGAATTTTTAACTTTTCCCTCCTCATCCGGACACAAATCCCAATGCAGGATGTTCAAGCACCAGATGAAGGGTGGATTTTCAATCCTGGGATCATCCTAATTCCAAAATGGTATAATATGTCTATGTAGAGCAAGTGTGGCTCAAGTTAAAGGGGATTTCAGACACCTGGATGGACAGACAGAATTTGCCATTTATTTATTATAAATAAATGACATCAAAAAGGAACAAAAATGGTCAGTAAGGTTCTGGTTAAAATGAGGTGTCAAACTTAGGGAAAATTCTAGAAGTTTTGTTAATATATTATCATGATCATCATTATATGCTTTTTGTAATGGATATTCTTCAAATATAGAACCATTTTTTCCTTCTATCATATGGCTAATGCTAACCTCAAGAGAACAACTCATTACACCTTTTAGATCTCACATTTTCCTCTGACATGAAGTGGAGTGATTATATTGAATCAATTGCTTGATCTACTGCTAGGAAAGTTGGTTCACTGTGTCATGCTAAACAATTCTCTTCAGAATCTTTCTTGCACATTTATAAATTTACCAATTGTAAATTGAATATTACTGCCATATCTGGTCTGGTGCTTCTGCAATGTATTTAAAGATTTTTTTTGTGACTCAATGAACACTCGTTGCCACTTTTGTGATGCCATTGAATACTCATTTTCACTTTTGTAATGCTCATTGTAATAGAGATTTTGTAATCACTGATACAACTATAGTACGCCGTTGAACAATGCTATTGTCAGACACCTTTGAATAACACTCGCACTAATAGTACTTACTCAATAATACTCACTCAACAAGTAACCCATATAGTGATCCAAATAGAGAAATAGTATAGTGAATAGAGTAGAGAAATAGTATAGACTAGAAAGTTGATCCCCTAGACATCACGCAACTTCTCATATATGCACTTACTCTATGGTTACATGGTCTACTTAATTCAATAATAGGATCATCTGTGTTTGCTCACTGGCAATCTATGTTCAAACTCAAGTGTTGGAAGTGACACTTTATTCCTATATAACAAGATTTTTGATAAATCTCAAAGCAGTCTTGACATGGCAGCTCAACTTCAGACATTTTCCCACTTTGGTGAGATTGCTTGCCTCTATCTTTTTTATAAATATTTTTGTGGCAATTATTCTTATGAGTACTTTTGGTACCTGAACTGCATGAATTTGAGCTTTCTGCTAGATTGGCAGTTAGGTCTTAATGTTTTAGTGTTGAACCAGGTAGATGGAACCATAAGTTCTATTCTAATAGTTTCTTTTCTCATATTTCTTACCTCTGGAACTCTCTTCCAGTTTCTTGCTTCCTTGATATGTCCTTAAGTTCCCTTCACACTATAATTTCAAGAATGGAATAGCCAAAAATATCACCACAAACAATAAGAAAAAGTGATTAAGAAACTGAAATTATAAAGTACTATATTTTACTGCTTATAAGATGCATTATCTTCAAAAACCACTCTGCATCCTACAAATAAAAGGTCGGTGATGAGAGTTAACTTCTCTTCTAATTAGTACATTCTAAATAGTTACCATAAATTTGGTACTTCTTCTCAGTCTGTGATGAATTTGTTATAATTAGTCAGGTCTTCAGGTTTTAATATGCTATTCAGTTGGTAAAATTAGGGATAGTGGGTAAGATTATTTTTTTCCAATTTCTTCCTTCAAAAAAGTTTTTGGATGACAGGTATCTTATGCTTTCAAGTGTCTGAGTAGTTAGAATGTTCGTTTTCTGATCATGTGGCCCGGGTTCAAATCTCAGCATAGTCAATTTGTCAGAAAGAAAACTTCCTGATGTTATTGGAATGTATCAAGTTCAATCACAACATGTGGCACCTTTGGAAAATGACTGAAAACTATACTATGGTTTGACACAAGTGAGTGAAATTGTGTTGACAGAACTCTTGAGGGCCGTTGATAGCTGAGCTAGAACAAAGCCACAAGTCATCGTGGCTGAGGGCTTGAGTGTGCTGGCCTTGTTCAAATTATTGATCACGCTAGATAACACACTTTCTACCAGAAACTGTAACTAAGGTCTGCTTAGCATAGTTGCAGTATAAATTATAGGTTGGCCCTGTGGGTGTTGAACAAACACAAATGTGCCTGAGCCAGCGTCTGCAATAGGGATTGGCTAGCCCCCCTAATAGATGGGTATCCTCAAATACGAGTGGCCAGCTATTATCTTATGCTTTCAAGTGTCTTATAAACATAGAAATATGGTATACGCAATGATGAAAGATATTTTATTTAAGAATCTCAAAACATTTAAAATCTATTCAAAATATTATTTTTGGAAGGCATTTATCTTTGTAGTTGCGAATAGTTATTATTTCCATGTATAATTTGTCAGTGCGGCAAATGCTAGTCTGGATTGTGGTCTAAATTTGGAGGTAAGAAATAATAGTAAGAAAAATTAATCAAATGTTTAAAATCAAGAATTTTACGTGCAGACATCCAAAGGAGATATTAAATTAAAAAAACATTTTCTTCCCTATTTCCTATTATTAATTGATCAATTCAAGTTTAAAAGTTTAATTAATATGTGAGGTGAATGAAATTAAATGAATAGAAGGAAAAAACAATAATTTTAACACTCCTTAATTCTGATTCGTCAAGTCCATTCGTAAAATAACAAACTTTCTATTTCTATCAGTTTTTTCTGTAATGTCTAAATCATTCACCTTGTACAAGGACTGAGAGTCACTTCATTTCTTTTGTATTCTATTAGTGAGACGTAATTCTACTCAAGCAGCTTCTTCCCACAAACAGCTGCTTAGGGGAACCAACTCCCAAAAGGTTGATTCACCAGCCACTACAATCTTAAAATGTGCATGTCTAGAGTTAACAATTATCTTCAACCAAATATCTCCATAAACTGTGCCTCTTAAACTGTAACCCTCTATCTCGAGTGGCTCTTGGGAATTGTACAAGGTGAACATCATTTAAAAAAAATAACACTTTCAAATAGAGCCAAGCATTTTTCTATTAAATATTCGCACATATTCATGCGCTTAATACTATGCCTATGTGCCATGTATAAATATCAAGTGGTTAGTCCCAGTAACAGTTCAAGTAAAAGTCTGAGTTGAAGTAGTAAGAGGAGTCAGTAAGAAACTTTCCTATATCTAATCTATTTCTTAACATATGAAAACTTTCTTTATCAGAAGAAACTGGATTAAAAAACAAAAAGAAACAATTTTGGTATAAAATAAATCTCCACAAATTTTTTATTATAATTTTTTTTTTTATTTGACTTTTATTTGTTTTCTTCTTTCACTTTCCTTTTTCTTTGGGGATGAATTTGTTTTTTTTTTACATGAGCAAGTTTTTCCATCAAAATTTCTGCAGTTCTTTTAACATTCCATTGTGACAAATTAATCTTTCGTTTCTTCTTTTATATGAGTGACAGCACAACAATAAAATAAGTTGAAAGTTACTTACTCAAAGGACTTGAGGGAGAACTTGGTTTGAGTACCCCGACTTGTCACGTGCTGGTGGATTTGAAGTGCCGCCAGCCGAAACATGCTTTCATATTTCAAGTCACCTGCAAATCGCTCTTGGACAACATCATTGCAACACTGCAAATTAAGATACAAAAGCAGCGTAAAAATAAGAGACATTGATCTTGTCAGCCATTAACGGACGTCGACTAAATTAAAAATGACAGAAACCGTGGATAATTACGATCGAAAATTGAGTGAGCTAATTGACTTGCGATGAATAAAATTATAGACTCTCAATGAACAAAGTAAGATCAAATGATTGATATTTGAGGAATTAATAAATACGTTGTGTGCTAGGCATGGCAGAAAAAAGATTTGGAAAAAATTCTTGTATGGTTACAGAACTGACAAGCTTAAAATTGTCTCTGTCCATTAGCACATTAAAGAGAAATTTGGAAATCAATACATGTCTCAAAAATACAAAAATAAGGAATCTATTAGAGGAACAAGACAAATATTAAAAAAAAATGCATTATATATATTTATCCATATTAATGCTTTCTCAATCTCAAATGTTCAGATATACAGTGTGCAATAGGTAAATGGTCGCAATTTCATATTTTTAATTTTACGCCTATGCACCATTTGTTTTTGATTTTGTTGACTGCACAGTATAGGAAGGTCAGTTGGGCACTGTCTGTAAGAAAAAGAGCACTATGACGCAATTCATTCCACCAGAAATTTGGAAACAGCATGATGTACTGATTGGCAGAAGCTCCAATATAAACATTTCAGAGTGTTTGGGTATTAATCTGAGAACAGTCCGGAGGATTTGGAAAGAGTTGGATGAGTCTAATAGTGATTACAAAGGTACAGTAGCTCTGAAAACTCATTCTGATCATTCTGATAAAAAAAAGAAAGCCTGAATTTGTTGGTGAGGGCCTCAAACTGAACAGGGAGGCCTACATCAAATACCTTGAGGAGGCAGTGCTGCCCTGGGTCAAGAGGATGGCTATGTCAGGCAACAGGACTCTGCACCATGCCACACAAGCAGGAGAATCTATTCATGACTGTCAGACAATTTCTGCAACCACAGCGACCCTTACATCTGGCCACCTAACTCCCCAGATCGCAACCACCCTTGATTATTATGTGTGGGGGAGGGCTGTGCAAGAGACCAACAAAACTCCTTGTAACACCAAAGATGAACTGAAGGCAAGGAATATGGCAGCATTCACCAACTTAAACAAGGAGATAATCCAGAAGAATTGTAGGAGATTTCAAAGCCATCTGGAGACTGTGGTTGAAGCCAATGGTGATTTTATTGAATAAATTTACTATTTAGTATTTTAAGATATTTTTGTATAATTTTGGTAAATATATCCTTTAAAATGAGATGTCAGTGTTATTTTCATTTTTGCATAATTTAGATGACAATTTATACATCACAGCATGTATGACCAGATGGAAAACTGTTGAAATGTTTATTGATCGAATTTTGAATATGATTATGATTTAAATATTTTCATCTTTTTATGAGGGATAGCAGACATGTTCAGAGACTGACTATGAAGGAGTGATGCTACAGCTGTGAAATCTGGCATGCATTAATTTCAATACTTCTTATTAATAAATGCATTGTTTCTTTCCATGTAAACTGACATCTGACTGTTCGAAGAAGACTTCAAATATACACGGGTCAGCTGAATATGAAGGAGTGGTGGTAGAGTTGTGAAATATTGCATGCATTAATTTCAACACTTATTAATAAATGCATTGTTTTTTTCCAGGTAAACTATCATCTGACTGTTCAAAGACAACTTAAAATGTATGAGGGTGGGCTGAAAAGTTAATAGGCTGACTATGAAGGAGTGATGCCAGAGCTGTGAAATCTTGCATGCATTAATTTCAACTCTTCTTAATAATAAATGTATTGTTTCCTTCCAAGTAAACTGGCATCTAATTGTTCAAAGAAGACTCCAAATGTAAGATGGTGGGCTCAAAAGTTCATAGGCAGACTATGAAGGAGTTTTGCTAGAATTGTGAAATCTTGTATGCATTAATTTCAACTCTTCTTATTAATAAATATATTGTTGATTCCCAGATAAACTGATATCTGACTTCGAATGTACAAGGATGGGCTGAAAAGTTCATAGGCCAACTATGAAAGAGTGGTTGTAGAGTTGTGAGATCTTGCATGAATTAAGTTAAACTCTTATTAATAACTGCATTATTTCTTTCCAGCTAAACTGACTGTGATATGACATTATCATCAATGCAATACTGGTTCCCAGACAATTATTTTTTTCATTTTGCTGACCAGATGGAAATCAAGATAATAGGGACGGTGATCAACTAGTTCAAAACTACAATCCTGCAGAGTAGCCACTGAAACCAAGGAATTGTGTACTGGAGCATTGTCATGATGAAACAAGATGCCTTTTGTCAGTTTCCCTGTGTGTTTGGTCTTGATAGCCTTTCATAAAATGCCTCTGTAAGTTGGCATAGTCCACTCCAGTGATAGTGTAACCCTTTCGAAGCTTTCAGTAAACACAATGCCTTTTGCTTCCCAAAAGACTGAAGCCATCACCTTCCCTGCAGGTGAAACAAGCTTGACCATTTTGGAGCAGATAAGGAGGGTTTTTTTTTTCTCCTGCATCGATTGTTTCTTTGTTTATGGCTCAAACTCAATATTCAGCCTGGGTTAAGAAACATTCAAGGAAACCAACTGGACATAAAAAATATATGTGTAAAAATTCAGATGTATCTAAAATTATATCTGTAAAAAGACAATATGAATAAAGAGTAAAAGAAAACTTATCTTAGCCAACACGTTTTGTCCTCTGATGGACTTTATCAAGGCAAATGTAAGGATATTATTTTGCAACAAATATTTATCAACAAAAGTAAAAAGGTTCTTAGTTTTTCTAAACTTTTAAATTTAAGAAAACTCATAAATATATATATAAGGCTAATTGAAAGACTAGGGAAATTATGGAGAATGCTAATTGGTGTAATTTGATTTCTAACAAACAAAAGTGAGTAAATTTTGCTGTTATTGCTTGTTTTTTTTATAATGTAATTATTATTTATATTATCTAGTTCAGATTAATTTATATATTATAAGGTTTCAATAGAACTGTTTCCTTATGATTTTTTAAATTTTATAGTCATGTATGTTAGCTTGGAAAATAAGTATTTCTTTCAGGAACAGAGATATTTAAATAAAATCTGGGATGCAGATTTATATTTTTGTAAGACTCAACAGCAGCACTCTCAAGAATTTTCCATCTAAGTAAGTTATTTACTCCTTTAATAAGTTTGGCATTCTTTAGATTGAAGTTGTGATTGAATTTATTTTTTCTGTATGACTAATGCATTTGATAAATATATATATATATATATATATATATATATATATATATATATATATATATATATATATGAAGAAATATAGTTTTAAGGTGTGTTATATTTATGGAATAAAGTGCTCAATATCAGAAGTAGAGTGTATGTAAAGATAAATATAAAAGTGAACATTGAAGTCAACACTCAGAGGTGACTGGCTGTTTCATGCGAGACACAATTGTCAGGCAGCCTGATGATTGGATCTAGCATGAAACAGCCTGTCGCCCCTGAGTGTTGACTTTAATGTTCACTTTTATATATATATATATATATATATATATATATATATATATATATATATATATATATATATGTATTAAAAAACAACACACAAAACTTGGTTGTTCACCATAGCAAAACTGACCACAATTTTGACATAAAAAAAATGTTACTGTCATTAAAAGAGAAAATAATTGACTAAGACAAAAATGTTTAGAAAGTGCTTTAATTGCCAGTTCATCTGCATTAAATATGCATCCAGGTTCTTACAATGTTTTATCATTCTTTGTAGATCTTTTGTTATCATAATGTGAGATATTTAATAACAAAGATGATGGAAACAAAAACAAAATTATTCTAGGTGAATTTGGCTAGATCACAAAAAAAGAAATATCTTTCTAAATTTTGAAACTACCAGTCCGATGGATGAAATATGCCACAAAAACTTTTTCCAATTTGTCTATCAAAAAAAAAAAAAAAAAATATATATATATATATATATATATATATTTGTTTGAATAAAATAGACCACTTTAAGGTTCCATGTAATAAGTTATTTCACCATAACCCCTTTAACAGGGTTCTGGATCATCAGACTTTACTTCCAAAGGTTGAAATTTTTTTTTCAACCTTGGAAGTAAAGTCTGATGATTCAGAGCCCTGTTAAAGGGTTATGGTGAAATAAATTATTACATGAAACCTTAAAGTGGTCTGTTTTATTAAAACATATCGGCTCTGAATTTTACATTGAGCTCTCCACATATCATCCTCCTTGGGTCTACCCATGTGGATTACCTAGTTTTGCATAAACTAAATATATATCTATATCTATATATATATATATATATATATATATATATATATATATATATATATATTATTAATAGAAATCTTATAAGTATAAGAAACTATACTCTTTCGGAGCCAGCATTTCCTGACGATCCGCTTAGGTGAAACCTTGTTAGGTTTGTCTGACTCTCTAGGTTTAACTATATATATATATATATATATATCTGATGAATACATACCTGTGTAAAATAGTATTCAAATGATGCAGGGTCTTCTTTCAAAAGAGCATAAGCATCCACAGGTACAAATGTCACCCGAAATAGACACCGAAAATGACGAGAACCTGGTTTAGCTGCAATCTGGAGAGAAAACAAAAAAAAAAAAAAAATGAACACATAAATTTCAACTAAAGTTTATTAAAAAATAATAATATTTTGTTCAAGATATATAATCAAGAGTTAGCTAGCACGATGATTGATTGATTTGTTTTTATGGCTTATCAACCTTTTCAGGTTGGTTATTTAAAGACAGAAGATGTTTTTAGATTATAAGAACTTTGGGGAAATAATAATAATGGTTTACTAATACAAGTCCTACTAATTAACCCATTGCAGGAGAGAGAAAAGGTGGATTCATACCTTACCCAAAGGTATTTGCACATAAATGAATATAACAAACCCAAGTAGAATTGGAACTTGGCTCTCCAAATTCCAATCCTGCGTTGTTATCCATTAGATCATCTATACATCCAAACACACCACTGGTATTCCAAAGCCATCACATGTCTAGGTACTGACCGGGTGTGACATTGCTTAACCTAAATAGGTAACCATAAGAAAACCTGTTTCAACAAGCACATTATACCACCTGTGCATCCAAACTTACAGCACCTGGTATTCACAAGTAGTCACCCATCTAGCTATTGACCAGGCTCAATGTTGCTTAACTTCAGTTATTGTAAGAAAACCAGTATTTTAATGTGAAATATCTGTAAGCCCGTTATACTATCCGCACCTCCAAGCTTACAGCACCTGGTATTCGCAAGTGGTCACCCATCTAGATATTGACCAGGCATGACATTGCTTAACCTTGGTGATTGTAAGTAAAGTAGTGTTTCAGTATGATAAGGCACCACCTAGACATCCAAGCTTACAGCACCTGGTATTCCCAAGCAGTCACTCGTTTAGCTACTGACTAGGCTCAGCATTGCTTAACCTCTGTGATCATATAAGAATCAGTGTTTCAACATGATGTGGCTGTAAGTTGGCTATTATTATGTCTGAAGCTATTTTACTCACAAGCAATGCATCTTGGTCACTTTATATGTTATACTAGCAGTAGAGCCCGGCGTTGCCCAGGGGTATAACAGTAAAAGATAGATCAAGTATCCACCATCATAAAGACTGAAAAATAAAATTGACAAAGATTATTGTTTAAGGTTGACAGACACGCATGTCTTAATTAGTATTTTTACGAATTGGTCAAACCCAAACTCAAACAAAAACATTGTTTTCAATTGTTATGAGTCTCTACCGATTGAATAGAATTTTATTATAAACAATTGTCTTGTAAATGGAATTTTTAAAGCATTCTGAATGTAAAAATAAAGAAAAAAAGTGTGCAAGACAATAAGAAACACTACATGCCAAAAAAAAAAAAGAAGTTTTGTTGAAATCGGTTGAAAAATGTAGGTAGCCTTTCTGTAATCTTTTAGTTTTACAATTTATGATTTTTACTTATTGAATACTGTAAAAAAATTGCATATTTTGCTTGTGGTGATTCATAATTAGAATTCTGATTTGAATATATTTTCCACTCGTTGTTTCTAATACAAAAAATATTAACTTTATTTGGGTTTATTAATTATGATCTAACAAATCTTATTCATTTAGTAGCCTTTCTTTAATAATAATCTTTTACAATTTATGATTTTTACTTATTGAATACAGTAAAAAAATTGGACACCATGTGTATTTAAAGTAGTTTCCCGTTCCGGTTATTATTTTTAGTTACGACTTGTGTATGTTTAGATTTCATTATCTTTCCCTAAAGATAAAGAATTTATCCAATGTTTGTATTCGTACAATCAGTAGAGATCGTTAGATTATTGTTTAAGGTTGACGGACACGCATGTCTTAATTAGTTTTTTTTTTTTTTTATTTTTTACGAATTGGTCAAACTCAAACAAAAACATTGTTTTCAATCGTTATGAGTCTCCCAATTGAACAGAATTTTATTATAAATAATTGTCTTGTAAATAGAATTTTTAAAGCATTCTGAATGTTAGAAATAAAGAAAAAAGTGTGCAAGAGAATAAGAAACACTACCTGCCAAAAAAAAAAAAACGTGAAGTTTTGTTTTATCGGCTGAAAAATATAGGAAATCCGGTCCCATATTTAAAGGAAAACACACACAAACAACCCGATGTTGTTTTCACAATGTCTCTTAATCATGTTTTCAAATTGATTTTGTGCAAAAACAATTATATTTTTCCCATTTTTGGCGCTGTTAGAACCACCACGAGGTAATTTTATGTAGTCCTGTGAAGTTTTGTTGAAATCGGTTGAAAAATGTAGGAAATCCTATCCAATATATAAATGTTACAGACACACACACACACACACACACACACACACACGCACACACACAATCTGCATTTTATAATAAGTAAGATGTAAGAGTATCTTAATGTTCTTGTGATATACATATAACGTTAAGTATTGAAAGTGAGTAAAATAAGGTAAAAAGAAATGGCACTCATAGGAATAAAATATAATTTTTACATTAGTTCAAGATGACAGAAATGTTGTTGGCAGTATAATATGATCACAATAAGTGATATTTAATAACAAAATGGACAAAAACATGAACAATACAAAACAGAAACTAAATGAAATTAGTTAGTGATTCTGAACTGTCATGTTGTGGCACACACTAGAGTGATCCTTTTATGTGTCCCATGAAATATTTTCTCAGCTTACATATATTAGTGTGTCTGGAAGGACTAATAGTTTAGCATTAGTATATTACTAAATTAGCTGCATAAATAGTTGAATAGAAACATTGAAATAAAGTAAGTTCATATTTGTGTGTGTATTTTTTTAAATCAGTTTTATTTCATCTATGCCTGGTGTTTTTTTCGCAATTTCTTCAATGTTTGGTAGAATGTATGATAAGCAGACTCTCATTTCCTCTTCAGTTGAGTGCAATCTTTCTCACTTCTTATTTTTTTTTAACATTATTTAGGTTGAGAAGCCTAATTCATATAAATAGAAAGTAAAAAATGGCAATAAAACTGATTAAGCCTTTTTAGCTTATGTGGGATATTCTTTTTGTATTGAAATCCAAAATGCATCAATGAGTAGCATCAAATGTTTTATTTCGAGCCCTCAATCACTAGAACTGGTGGCTAATTCTTCTTCTTCACATAAGTGAAAGCCAATATTAGAAGTAACATTTATGAAGAGATTTCGAATCCAATCATTCTTTTCTGTACTCAACAATGGAAAATAATAGTCACTGTTTTCATTGAGTGCTTTCAGATGGGTAATTATAAAAATATGCTTCTATCAGAAGTGTCAGCCTTTTGACCAGGCTCCGAGATTTTGGCACAAACCATGATTTTGGCTAACATCAAAAGTTTCTTTGTGTCAATTTTTTGATTGGCCAAAATTATTTTATTTTCTGGTGTTCTTTTCTTTTTCATTTTCTTTAAAGTTATGCATGAAGTCTCCTTGATTTTGGTATTTTTCAGTCACAAATAAGTAGGCACATCTCCTGCAAACTTCCAGTGTTTTTTTGGTCAGGTTCAGTCTTTTCTTCTTCCTCATTTTATTTGCGGATTGCCCTCTCATGAATTGAAAGAAGTATAGAGAGAGAAGTTTAGAGAGAGAGAGAGAGAGAGTGAGTGAAAGAGAGAGAGGAAGAAAGTGATAAATGTTTTAAAGAAAATTGCAAGTGCCTTATTTTAATGTGAATTCTTTTCATTTTTGTTTATATATTTTATTTCTATGCTTTATTTTATTTTTATCAGAACTCACAACAATAAGATGAAAGACCTATGTCTAGATTTCAGAGATTATACAAAAGCATTTGATAAGGTATGACACAAAGATCTATTTGAACTGCTAAGAAAACTTTAATTCATTAATTAAATTTAATTAATTTATTCTAATTTAATATTGAATTTAATTAATTTATTCTAATTATTAATTAATTTAATTAATTTAACCTTAATTTAATTAATTTATTCTAATTATTTGTAACATTCCGTCATCCAAAATTAAAAAGATTCTATCTGCATATTTTATGGTTTTTAAAAGTTTGGCTAACCATAACATTTTTATAAATTAACAGTCTTTACATACTTACAGGATTAAATGAAGATTTTTTTTACACTATTTACATTGTTTTGACTGTTGTCCTCATCTTTATTGTCACATTCACAATGTTTCGACCAGGGTATGCTCTGGCCTTCAGCAGGTGATATTTGTTGGAATTTCAAACTGAAACCTTTATTTAGTCCACATGGTAGATTGTTCTAATTCCACATATCATGCCTTTGGATATCTCAGTTTTTTGGTTCCCCAAGACACATGGCCCAGTGAATAAAAATGTTGGTTAATTGATCCAAAAAGTAACTTGACTCAAATAGTTGTTAGTTCACTCCCTAGCCTCAGCAGAAAGAACAAAAACTTGGAGAGTTATCAAGGTGAAATAATTTAAAAAAAACCCTGAGATATTCAAATGAGGCGATGAAGATCTTTGTAAAGATTTTTTGTCATTAATTTCGTTGCTTGATGTATCCTTAACTTTGAATCCCATTCTATACTTTGGGAATAGTTTCAGACTTTACCTCAGCTATAGTTTCATCCTCTCGTAGAATGGCAAGCTTTCCAGGAATGGGACTGCGCATGTTGTAGAGAACGAGGGCAAAATGCTGAATACTTCGTATGCTTAGTTTCTCTTGAAGGGAATTAAGAACGTCCTGCAAAGAAAAGATGATAAACATTATGATTTCATGCAAGAGGAAAAGAACAAACTTTAAATAAAATTTAAAAAATTATCTTGTCATCAGCCACAGTATGCTGGACAAACACATTTTCCATAAGAACCTCAGAAAATAGTGAAAAAGATGAGCTCATTACCATTCCAAAACTCATCTGCACATAAAACTGAATACATTAATAATGGCCACTAGACATTATTTAATCCAAACAAATACTTGGGTATTAAACAGATTTGAAAATACACACACACACACACACATACATATATATATATATATATATATTTAAAAATTATAACATAAATATGTTATAAAATCACTACAAAAATAACCATTTTGTTTCAACATCTTTGATGTCTTATCAAGTGATGATGTTGAATGTACATTGTAAAACCATCTACATTCAACATCATCACTTGATAAGACATGTGACAATACTTGATAAGACAAGTGATGATGTTGAATGTAGATTGTAGAACAGTATTAAATTTTTGTTTATATATATATATATATATATATATATGTGAAGAAAATATACTATTAGAATTTCTTCATACTGTTGGATCTATATCCATATATTTGCTTACATATATATATATATATATATATATGTATGTATTAAAGTGGATACTGAGATCAACACTGGGTAGAAACAGACTGTTTCATGCTTGAACGCAATCTTCAGGCACATTTATATTTACATATGCTCTATCCCCAATAGGGAGAACTTTCACCCAAAAATATACCATATCTACCAATGCATGAGGAGAATGACTTACTACGTCTTCTCAAGCTAAAATTCTCTGCTGACACAAAGTGGAAAGAATATATTGAATCAATTACTAGTTCAGCATTTAAGCTGGTTCATTGTGTTGTGCATGACAATCTTTCTTTCCAGGGTCTGTTCTAAATATCTATAAGCCTACTGTGTGCCCATGCTTAGAATACTGTTGCCAAAATTTAAATTAAAAATTCCCAGCATCCCTTGTCCGTGTGCATGTGTAATAGTAATGCATTACAAAAAATCTTTTTTCACTTTGTCATACATTTTCTCCCAATTATATATATATAATCAAATAGTTTTATTACATAAATTCTAAAAACAAAATGTGTAATACAGAAGTATATATACACTTTCACCTCTGGATATTTCCTAAATATTTCCATAATATAAATCTAGATAAAAAAAAATGATCCAATAATTTTAATTAAAAAGAAGACTCGGAGGATATTAAACCTTACCTTCACAGTGGTTTTATTATCATATTTGAAAGACTTAGTCTGTCCATTCTCCAGAAACACTTTTAGAACATTTGGCATTAAAGGCACATAACTTTCTTGGCAGGACGGCTGCAAAAGAAAAAAATATCTTAAAAAATTCTTCTTGATAAAAATAAAGGATTATGTAGCAAAACAGAAAATCTAATGTAATTTTAGATTCATGCCTTATTTTAAAGAATTAACAGCATTATTCTGGCATTCTGGCCTGAAGAAGGCCGGAGTGTACAACGGCCGAAATGTTGTAATAAATATGGCGACAAAGATGAGGACAATAGTCCGAATAATGTAAATAATGGAGCAACTATATCGAATCAACTGCTACGTCTACTGCAAGGAAAGTTGGTTTACTCTGTTGTGCCATAAAATTTTTCTCATTAGAATCCATCTTGCATATTTATAAATCTGCCATTTGTCCAGTTAGTTCAGTTATGTGCCATGCGTGATACATATTTAGGCAATCATGCATCTTTTGATACATGACTGATGATTTTTTCCCACAGTAGGTTGCCATTTCTTTTTGCAGTAGACCAATTGCCATCCAAGGCTATAGAACCAGATCTGTTCTGCTATTTACCCATAGCTGGGGAAGGAGAAGAGGATTCATACCTTTCACAAGGGTATTAGAATGCAAGTGAATGTAATGGATTCGAATGGAATTTGAACTCAGCCCTCTGATTTCTCAATCTGAGTCGCTATCCATTACTCCAATATGCCTCCTCCTATTTAATACTGCCACCATATCTGATCTGGTGCTCCTGCTGTCCATCTCAAGATTCTTGATAAAATTCAAAGAAGGGTCCGTAATGTTGTTGACCCTGACCTGGCATCTTGACTTCAGTTTTTAGTGACACCTCTAACTTGAAAAGCAGTCAATAAAAGTTGCTATAAAAAATGATGAACTCATTTTCAATATTACTTACACTGATCACAGAGGTGCCATTGACAATAACAGCATCAGCAAAACGAACCCGTGTTGGATTATTCCTCAAGCGTGCTTTCTTTGCAGGAGTAAGGAAGGCAGATCTTCGGCCAGCCTACAAAATAAGGTCAAATATATATTAAATATGTTATTTCCCTTCCAAGATTTTTCTTTTATAAAAAAATAAAATGGGTTAACTTTAGGCTTATTGGAAATGATGTCTCTAATAGATGATAATTGTGAGAAGAATTATTTCTTCTTTTGCATATTTGTTGCTGGTATGCAGTGTAAACACTTTAACTGCTACATTGTTAAAGCATTGTTGCCTGGCTGTGCTGGCCTATTTTGTTAAAAACATAGAAAGTTGCCATTTGCCTAAAATAAATTACTCTAAAGGCACTAATGGTAATTTCTTATGGATGCCATCATTTTAGTTTTAATTGGGTTCTCTACAGTGCAGACTAAGTTAAATGACAATGCTAATGACATCATAAAAATACATCATAAAACTGTTAGAATGGTATGCTACTATATATTTACACTGGTTACAAAATAGTACTAAGTACTAGTTATTTTATAACACAAACAACAGGGACAAACCTTTTAAGAAAAAATAATGATATATATACATTGTCAGCAGGAAATGTAAGTTTCATAAAAATATTTAAGTACCTCTTGAAAATATATATCTATATCAACAGCAGGTAATGTAAGTTTTGCAGAGATATCTAAGAACTGCTTGAAATTGTATACTTACATCAACAGCAGGTGATGTTAGTTTTGTAAATACATCTAAGTACCTCTTGATAATGTATATCTACATCAACAGCAGGTAAGGTAAGTTTTGCAAAGAGCTATAAGTACCTCTTGATAATGTATATCAACATCAACAGCAGGTAATATAAGTTTTGTAAAGAGCTATAAGTACTTCTTGATAATGTATATCTACATCAACAGCAGATAATGTAAGTTTTGCAAAGGCATATAAGTACCTCTTAATAATGTATATCAACATCAACAGCAGGTAATGTAAGTTTTGCAAAGAGCTATAAGTACCTCTTGATAATGTATATCTACATCAACAGCAGGTAATGTAGGTTTCATTAAGATATATAATTATGTTCACAGCAGTGGATGTGTTAAGTTTAATTCAGGGCCTCTGGTATAATTCAATGAGTAAGCAAAAGTAGATACACATTGATAGATATATGAAAAATATATACTCTTTAACAACACACAGTTTTGGCCTGATGATAATTTGTCAATACTGATAATGATGATAACATCATGTAAATGAACAAAGATATCACGAAGGAACGGGCCTCATGCAATGACTCAACTGAAAGAAATTGACCTGCTAACTGATTTGTCAAGCTCATGCAGATAATATCATGCCATAGGAAACTGAAAAAAAACTAGTTAGCAATTGATGTTGGAGAATGAGAAACAATAAAGGAAAAAATACATGACTGAATGTTATAGATAGCATTAGAGAATATATTTGAAAAGTGGGATAAAAAAAGTATACTTGATTTGTTAGCAGGTTATCAACAGGCAAGAGGAATAGACACCCCCCTCCCAAAAAGAAAAGTTTAAAAAAAAAAAAACACTTTATGACCTTTTTGGGGATTTTAGAGGATTTCTTTGTTTCTTTGCAGGGGAAATGAATCTATTGAAACTAACAAATTTGGAATTTTGTGTATAACGCATGAAATGCAACGCAAGTAAAATAAAAATAATAAGTGTTAATGGTAAACTCGAGTTGTGTTATGGCAATTTAATACAGTATTGAAATAACAAAGTTACTTCACTTGAATCTGGTTCTAGCGAAAAAGAAAGAACATGTCAACCATGTAGGTTTTATAATTATTTAATAAAAGAAAGGCGTAAAAGAGTTTTGTACACTTTAGTGTTCTGCCGAGTTATAAGAGCCTTTTTCACTCTCCAAGAGTGTGACTTCAAGTCTGGTTTCCCATAGGCTGTGTGTACCTTCCTGCCTATGCTATGGTCAATGCAAACAAAAAAAAGACCATTCATTCATGATTCATGCCTCACATAGGCCAGCATAGCAACAATATAAGGAGTTTAATTTTGACCAATGAGTAGGTTTCTTCTATTTACTGCTTACCACACCTTCAAAATAAAGGGTATAATACCTGTTCTTTCTACAGAAGCTTCCTTTAACTGTAATCCATTTTAATTCCCATAGAATACAAAAGAATCAATAGTAAGTCTGCCAAGTAGTTATTAGTCAAATTTTGATCTGAAATTTTCACTCTATAATGTTCAGTCTAACAGATTCACTTTCACCACTGAATTAAGAAGAAAGAAGTTTATATTGCAAAATGAAGTATATAATTATAAGCATTTCTTTCCTTTTTTTAATCATTTCACCCAAAGCAAGACAATAAAGCCATTATAACACAAGGGGTCACTAAAAGAATCTGAAAAAAACAATTATTAAAGAGAGAAGACAAAAAAAGGACTGAATTTAGGAAGACAAGATGATGCTTAACACTGCATTTAAATTTTTGAACATCAAAGTTGACTTGAAAGCAAGAAGTCAGAAAGGACTTCCACAAAGAAGTACAAGCAAAGAAACTGTTATTATAGAACTTATGGGTACATCTAGCAATTTAAACTGAAAAATGATGAGACCTAGTTGCCAATCTAGTACTTCCCTTAAATTTGCAAAGAATAGGTACAACAGAACAATTATCATGAAAGAATTTTATAGAAAAGGCACATGGAAGCTACTTTACAGTAGAGGGAAACTGAAATACCATGTTAGGATTGATAACATTGCAGATTCTTCTTCAGATTTTGCTAAGAATCTCTAAATACATAACAGAAGTACCAGACCAGATGTGGCACCAATATTCAATGAATGGATAAGCCTGAAGACTTACTGATGTACCTATAAATAGACAAGATAGTCATTTCATATTTGAAATAGATGCCCATATATGTGTATTTCCTCTATCAGTATGCACATTTGAGAAATCTTTGTAAAGAATAGGTATTCTCCAGCAGGAATCAAAGTGGTCTGCCTTTTGTTGGGGACACCAACATTTGATCTGGTGTGTTTTAAATTCTTTACAGATATGAACTGAACAGATATGGGCTTTTGAGAAAAATAATCTGAGTGAAGAGGATGTGCTTTCCTTAAAAACGGTAAAAAGAGCCTTACATACTGTCATGTTCCTCATGTTCAAGCAGTAAAGCATGCCAAATGGGTGTTTCACTTTAAAGGCAGTCACAGGTTCAATCCCTGCCCAAAAACATTTTCTTTACTTAGATTTCTTGAATACACAGACTGATAGATGTAATACTACTACTCAAAGAATAAAAATGGGATGTCTATTTCAAATACAAATTGTCCACTGTAATAACATTTGAAGTAATAAAATGTTGGATTAAAAATAAATACATTAATTCTCTAGAAATATACATACATATATATATATATATATATATATATATATATATATATATATATATATATATATTATAAATTAGTTGATTTGAATATGTTTTTTTTTTGACACAGTTCTAACCATGGTTAGAACTGTGTAGCGAAAAAAAACATATTTTAAATCAATTAATATTTATAATATTAATGCTCTGTAAATTTACATTGAGTACTATTTTGTAAAAATAAAAATATCTATAAGAACACCGGATTATATATCTTACTGTTCTTTCTTTTTTATTTATTATATATATATATATATATATATATATATATATATATATATATATATATATATATATATATATTCCAGCTATATATATATATATATATATATATATGTATATATATTATATTTCCAGCTTTTCACTGACGATCTGCTTAGGTGAAACCTTGGTAGGTTTGTCTAGCTCTCTAGGTTTGACTAGGTCTGCTCTACTTTTGTATTGAGCACTTTTAAGTTAGTTGATTACTCGTATCAGGGTATTTTCTTTGGGCTTTGGACCTGTATGCTGTACGATTATTTTCGACAGATGTTCATGTTCATAGCTCTTTCTTTCTTTTTTTTCAAGATTGATTTGACCATTAGCAAATCAAGAAAGGTTTTCCGAGATGAGTGTAGTTACCTATATATATATATATATATACATTTAGAAATATATATATATATATATATATATATATATATATATAAAGATGTATATATATTTAGAAATATATATAAATATATATATATATATATATATATATATTTCTATATATATATATAAGAAATGGATTAAACCTGATATATTTTTAATTTATTTGTTTAAATGTTATTTTTTAAATGAATACTATAATTTGAGTAGACGCTCTGTTTTTATTTAAGCAATCTTGTTAGAAAAATACTTGCCCTCCAACAGGGTTCAAACCTGCATCCCCTATGGGTAAACCATAATTAGATCTGATTGGAGGACACATTTTTGTATCAAGATTTCTTGAATATTCAGGACGGTAGATGGAAATAAATACATATACTGTTTAATAAATAAATAAAAGACAGAGCATCTACTCAAATATGAGTATTCATTTAAAAAAAATAATGTTTAAACAAATAAATTAAACATAGATAGATAGATAGATAGATAGATAGATAGATAGTCCAATATCATTCAGTTGGATGTCTTCCACGAAAGTTGTTTCTGTAAAATCTGTGGCTATACTTTTGATGAGAGGGTGTCTAATGCTGATTCTCTCATGCGCCCTTGATGGAATTGAGACTTTCCTGATGCAGTCAGCTGGGCTAATCATTTTGCAAGGAAGAGTGACAACAGAATACCTAAGGTCCTGTATGTATAGTCAGCTTGACAGTGGGAAAAGGAGTGTTGGACAGAACCTCCCAACTGTCAATGTGCCTCATGCTAGCTTCAAGTGAGCTGCCTTAGATAGAAATAACTGGAGATATTTGCACCAGCATGGTATCAGAAATTTTGAAATCAGTCAGCAAAGAGATGAAAGACAAGGTAAAAAGTGTCAGCAACTATTCCTGTTGCTATGTCCTGGCGAATGTATCTTGGGTATCAGAAGGTTATTTTATCGACAGGGTTAATGATGTTGGTGTTCATCCACAACAAATTTAGAAACATGAGTATTGAAGTCTGTCTATATTTCTGAGATGAGGTATTATGTACATTATTTACATTATTCGAACTATTGTCCTCATCTTTGTCGCCATATTTATTACAACATTTCGGCCTTTCAGTATCTGTCTATTTTTCTGAGATGAGGTATTATGTACATTATTTACATTATTTGGACTATTGTCCTCATCTTTGTCGCCATATTTATCACGTTTCGGCCGTTGTACACTCCAGTCTTCTTCAGGTGGTTGGAATTTCGAACTGAACCCTTTATTTCGCTCACCCAGATGTCCTCAAGGACACATGGCACAGTGAATAAAGGCGTTGGTTGGATCCAGTGACAGGACCCAAAAAGTATGAGTTCAATATCCGGTTAAGGGAGTGGAGAACTTTCAGAGGGAAAATTAGCAGGAGATAACTGATAACTGACATCCATCAAACATGGCACGTGGAACTAGAACAGTCTTCTGACTGCTTGAGTTGATTCGGATTCTTCTATTTATAGAGTTTTGGTCAAGAAAATAGGCTCCAGAGCGCTGGGTGCAAAAAGACATTTTTGCGTGAACTTGTTACAGTTCTTGGGGTCTGAGTCAATGAGAAGTCTCGCTTGATGAAACTAGAGTGTTGATTGGTTGATAGGTGATTTTTGGTATAAAGTGGATTATACCGGAGGGGTGAAAAGGTATGTATGGACTATTCCATCCTCCTGAGAGCCTTGCTTTTGCACTAGATGTTGACTTGTATGCAGGTCACTAGCAGGATACATACGACACAAACATAAAAACTGAATGAGATTGTTGGATCCTTGTGTGCCAAAATTGATAGGAGAGTGCAGTTTCTAATAAAACATTGCTTGTATAATAACAGACCTAAAATTAATATTAATAATAAATATATATTTATTTCCTCATTGGTAGCACAACTCTGAATTTCACGTATCTTAGCTGGTCAATACGATTGATTTCAAAATTTCTGATACCATTCTTCAGAAGACATGTTATGGAATTGTTTAGATATAGAAAATATTCTGACAACTTACATTCCTTAGTTCCACCAAATATAACCTTCACAGCTAAGACCAGCCAGACCATGTACAATGAGGTGAACCATATATATTCCCTCCGAATTCCATGAGTAAAAAGTAAGTTCTACTTGAACAACTTCTTTCCACAAACTACTACATTGCAGAACAAACTCCCAAGTGGATGATTTCCAATACACTACAGTCTTAACCTGTTAGTCTAGAGTTAACTGTTATCTTTCCCACATATCCTCATAAACTGAATCTTACCCCTTACTCTTATCATTGAGATAACAACATCTTTCAGTAAAACTTTACCTTGAGTAAATCTTGGGCTTCACATCAGTCTATCTATCTATCTATCTATCTATCTATCTATCTATGTCTCCACATAACTATCTATTTATCTGTCTCCACATATCTATCTATCTATCTATCTATCTATCTATCTATCTATCTACCCATCTATCTATCTACCCACATAGCTATCTATCTGTTTCCACATATCTATGTATCTGTCTCCACGTTATCTATCTATCTATCTATCTATCTATCTATCTATCTATCTATTTATCTATCTCAGTCTCCACATATCTCTCTCTCTCTCTCTCTCTCTATATATATATATATATATATATATAAACAAATGTTTAGTGGAGATAAGAATTAATTTGTCTTCAATAGGATTAAGACTCGGTTTCCATGTTTGTTTTTTAAAACTCAGATTGCATTTTTATTTTCTTTTGTTGTTTTTTGCATTTTTATGACAATTATGTTTATATAGGTTGGAGTTCATCAAGGTAAAGTATCTTAATTCTCATAAAGACTAATTAAGGAAGTGAACTTCTTAATTGCTTTAATTAATAGGCTTTGCTTATAATGTATATTTTAATGAATGACTTCATACTACATGCTGAAGTTAATTTCAATCAATAATGTCTGTTGGACAATGATTGGTTTTTAATCATTTATTTTGCTTCTGCAATATAATCTCTGCATTAATCAATTCTATATCTATATGTGACACTGACGTGCCAAAAGTCATCTAATTACTAGCACTTGATGATTATGGCTCTCCACAATTTCCTGTCCTTTGTAGTGCTTGATAAATTTTGTCTTTATGTTACCTCTCCTAAACCATCCATTTACTCAAACTTACTGATGTGTTGTTTTCCTTTTGTCCCTCTTACTTTCAATATGTCCTGTGAGTATCAAATTTTCTAAGCCCTCTTTCCACATTATGTGCCCTAGAAATTTCAACTGTCTCTTTCTAATGCTAAGTTTGCTTTTTATTTCTATTTTCTCTAAAATTTTATCATTGCTCTCATGTTCGCTCCATGGTATTCTCAGCATCCTTCTGTAGAACCAGATCTCTGTTGCTTCAAGTCTCTTCTTCTTCATTCACTGCCATATAGGAGGGCTGATAATACATAATGGTTCAGTACTTTTTATTTGATTCTAACATTTTTTTTCAGTTTCTTAATTGCTTAATTTTTGGAAGACATATTTAGTTATTCCAATGCAGCTTCAGATTTTGGTGTCGCATTTTTGGTCCTCTGTTAAAAGACTTCCAAAATATTTAAATTGTTGTACTTGTTTGATTTTGGTGCCTCCAATTTGTAATTTGCATATTGGACTGTTCCTTTTTACTAACAACCATGCATTCAGTCTTCTTGCAATTGATGCTTAGTCCTTTCTTCTTGCTTTCCCTCACTACCTTTTGTAGAAGTCCTTGTACTTTCCTTTCTGTATCTACTATCAACATTTTATCATCTGCATATCTCATGTTATTAAGATATACTAAATCCTGATAGGACTTCTAATTTTCTCAGCATCGCCTGATTGTATAAGTTGAATAAGTCCAATGAGAAGACATTCTTGTCTTACACCACTTTCTATTTTTGTATATTTATTGATTTTCTATTTGTATGCAGGTGGTTTATTGCCATTATAGGTTCTGGATTATTCTAATATTCTTCCCAAATCAGTCAGTTATGCAACACGTGTGTTACACACTTAGGCAATCATGTATCTTTCGATACATGACTGATGATGCAGATTTTTTCCCGCAGTAGGTTGCCATTTCTTTCTGTGGTAGACCAGTTGTCATCCAAGGCCAATCTGTCCTGCTATTTACCCATAGCTGTGGAGAGAAGAATAGGATTCATACCTTTCCCAAGGGTATTAGCATGTAAGTGAATATAATGGATTCGACTGGAATTCGAACTCGGCTCTCCAATTCCTCAATCCAAGCCACTAACCATTACTCCACCATGCCTCCTCAAATATATTCATGTAAAATCGCTTCTCCTCCTTTTCCTCCATCATCATCATCCTCATCATCACTGGCTGTGATTGTAGTGTCATTGCACAGCTGAGCATCCTCTGTGTTTAATTTATGCTTAACATTTCTTGGGTAAGTAGACCTGGCGGAGCCCATCCATCTCCAGGTCAAATCACAACTGATGTCCAACTTGAAGGCTCACATTGAACACATTGCCATTTTTTCCATCAAGAGAATCCTCCACCCTAGTTTTTGACTTAAATGTAGTAATCTCTCCACCCAATGATGCTGTGTCATCACTGCACTGGCTGCATCCATAGCGATGGAGTCGATTGTATCCTATTGAGCTAGAGGGCCATTGACCTTACAGAAAGGTTTGTATGAATGTTGACAAACTCTGGTTTTAATCCTGCTGCATGTCTAGCCTTCCTCCTCACCAGAAAAGCCTGGTGGAGGAAGCAGTTTAGTTTCTAATTACCAAACCAGGCAGTACTGGAATACATGGCATCAGCAGCACTCATAGAGTTGCTTAACACTTGCAAAAATTATTTCAACATGATCATGCCATCATGTTGATCAACTCTTTTTATTTCCTTTTATTTCATTTCAGAGACATGAGAATAGCAAAAAAACAAACTTGTTAAGAAATATTCATACTGTCAGCTGCATAAAAAAACTTTCTCTGATCAATGATTAAAAATGGCTTCTAAGATCCTGTAGGTCTTAGAGAGGACCATCTTTCTTTGAACTTTGTGGACTGGTACCACAGAACCACAATCAAAGAACTGTACCAAATACCAGAAACAACATCACTTGAGAACTTTCAACAGCAGCAACAACTAAAGTGGATAGCACATGTAACTTACAGAGAAAATAATAACATAATCAAGATACTGATACTCCAAACAAAAGGTTAGGAAGGAAACCCCCATCAATACTGGAATAACAGTTATTGGAATTTAGAAACCTAGTTTACTGAAAACTTGTTTTAATAGAAAATAGCACTTGCTGCTCAGTCAACAAATACCAAATGTCCTTATAAGGTAATGTCTGACATTACTGTTAATAACAGATGTGCACTCTGGTCAAAGATGTAAAGTTATATATTTATGAAACCTTGAACTCTTTTTCAAAAAATATTAAATTTGAATAACTAGAATTTTTTGCAACATACTAACACAAGTTGAAATCTTCACAGTATTTAGTAGTGTTGAAGTTATCGCTAAC